AAAAAAAAAAAAAAAAAAAAAAGACTTCCAGAATTGCTTCAGAAGGTGGCCAGAATGATAGGTTGTGTTCCAAATGAAGGGAGTACCTATATTTTGAAGATTAATTGCAATGTGTTTTTTAGTGCAATAATTTTTTTTTTAAAGTTAACATTCACCATACTTTTTTATCACACCTCTTTCCCCACTCCCCAACCTTTCTATCATGAATCGGAATTATTTTTTGTAATGGGAAAAAAAAAAGGCAAGCATGGTGATATATGCCTATAATTCCAGCAGGGAGGCCAAGACAGGAGGATCACAGTGACTTCAAGGCCAGTTTGGGCTACAGTAATAAGCGACATGAGTTCAAGGTCAGCCTAAAAATCTTAGTGAGATTTCTTCCTCAGAAAACAAAAGCATGAATGATATAACTAATGGGAGCCAGGTGAAGTGTAATCTCAGCTCTCTGGAGGTTGAGAATTCAAGGCCAGTTGGTACTACATGCTGAGCCCATCTTGGGAGAGAGAAAAAAACAAAACAAAGCACATATATGCATATATATATAATTGTTCTGGAGGTGTAGGGCCTTGGGTTAGCATGTACAAGGTCCTTGGTTCGATCTTTGGTACCATTAAAAAAATCATGGCTACCAGACTGAACTCAGTAGTGTTGAGTCACTGTCACCTGGCAAGGCTGGCTTGAGAGTTGACCCAGTGTGCAGCAGGCAGCTGAGCAGGTGCACAATATGGGGATGCTGCTGCGACAACCAGGTGAATCCGATCTACATAACAACTGAGCAGGCAGACTTGGCAGGTGGCCTTTTGCGAATATCTCCATTCCCTAGAAGAGGAAACTAAGGCTCAAAGGATCAGGGGTGATGATGAGGCCCCTGCCTGCCATCTCTAGGATAAAAGAGAGGGACTATGCACTGGAGATTGGGGGAGCCATCTACTTTGCTATCTTCATTATCATCGGTGGCATCATCGGCATGAACCTGCTTGTTACTGTGGTGATCAGGAATCTGGAACTAATAATGACAGAGGAGGTGGAGCAACAACAGCATCAAAGAACCAATAACGAGGTTTGGGGGACAGGGATGGCAGATGGGAGAAGAGGGAGGGTGTGTGGGAGTGCTGACTTGAGTGTGCGTGCGTGCATGCGTGTGTGCGCTTCCACACTCAAAGGCCCAGAAAAAGCCAAGCCCAGGATCTGGACACAGGAATGCCCATTCCAAGTGTCACTCACCATCTGGGGCTTTTGAAGGGTGTGAATTTCCTAGATGTTATGGTTCTATAGTAATTCAAAACTGAGTGGTTGGGTGGCCTGAGGCATTTAACTAATTTAATCAATGCTTTCTTCTGTAACATGGGACTAATATTAGTACTTACCTCACACAGCTGTATTAAAGATTATATGGGTCAAAGAACAGTGCTTGGTATAGTAAGTACTCAATGTCAGCAACAGCATATTCATTCAAGAAAGGACTTCTATAAGGTCGGAAAGAAAAGTGAAGTACAATAATACTTTGAAGCATTTAAATTTGGGCTCTTATAGCAAGGTGGAAAGATTAGACTGAACTAAGGGCTGCGGGTCCAGCTCAGTGGTAGAGTCCAAGCATGCTGGAGGGCC